TATATATATATATGTATGTATGTTTACACAGATCTATACACAGATAGATAGAGAGAGACTATATGTGTGTATATATATATGTTTTGTTTTCCACACATGATACATGTGCACATTGACATGTAGGGCTCTTTGTATGCACAAAGTGTATGTACCTGACAAGGAAATTCTTTGTTGATGCCCGTGCTTTGGGGACATTTGGTCTGCCCCTCACGCTAAACCTTCCTGACTCGACCTCTACCGACTCTACCGCTCATGGCTTCTTGCACAGACTCTATGCAACGCAGTCACAGACGTGAGCCAAGAAATCATTCAGCATGCGCCATTATCAGATGTCCAAGAAGCGCAGAGCAAAGACAAAAGTTTCACTCCAGCGCAAGCCTTGGGCAGCTTCCGACAGGGAGATGTTGTAAAACACTCAGGTTCAGCAAGCTAGTGGCAGCAGAATCAAAAGCAGCTACACGTGGTACACGGACGACTGTGTGGGGCTTGGCCAAGATATGCTGCTGAAGCCAGCAACCTGCCGGTTTCGCAAACTTCCAAAAGAAAGCCGCAAAAAAAAGAGAAGTTCGGGAAGCATCAATGTCATGCCTGTGTGCTAGTGTGTGTGTGTGTGTGTGTGTCTTACCCTCTCATTTGACGGTTTGCCGTCTTCACAGACTCAGACTTGTTGCCACATTTCCATGACTTAGGATGGAAGTCATCGCGCAGGGTTGCAGGGGCCGCTGCGCGAGGTAGATCTCAAAGGTTGAGTGTGTGAGCCGCATGCCGGCTGCCTGCATGTGGAGAGAAGGTTTTGTTGTGCTGCGTTCTCCGCCGTTCGGTTGCAACAGACCTGCCGGTCTTTCGGCCCAGTTCAGTTGTGTCGCACGACAGCTTCAACCAGAACACCTTCCACTCCCTTCAGCTTCCTCTTCACCGAGTAGGCCAAACCTCTTCCACTGTCCAAACAGGCGCCAGAACAAAGGTGCCATTCCTACTCATCCTTTTGTGCTACCATGGTGACCATGGGAGCAGAAACCAGGCCCGGGCCCTTAAAAGATCTGCGTGGAGTGCGAGATTCGAAAACCTCTACGAGGGCGTTTTGGGACTTCCGTCCGAAGCCGATACAAAGTGTCGGGAGATGCCATTTGCGATGGCTTTTCAGTGTGCATGAACATGGTGTTCAAAAGATGACGGCAGTGATGATCAACTCGAAAAACAAATTGTAATAAGGAATCCCCAAAACCCTATTCTAATTATTAAGACCCCTACCTTACTTCCTTTTTTGCTCTTGTTCCTGCAGCGCTTCGGAGATGAGAGACGAGTCGGTACAGGGCCATGCAGTCCAGCGCATCACAAGATTATTTTCGGGTCTCGATGGTGATATAGAAGTTTGAAAAATGACCAAAGCCATTTCTTAGGGTGCGTATTGTCATCATCATCTACACCGACAGCCTTTTCTAATCATGAAGGCCCCTACAGTAGTTCTGGTCGGAGTGTGTTCTTGCCGACTCCGTCACAGGCACCCAAGCCGCAAGTCCACAAGATGTTATCAGCCCTTCAGCTTTGACATTGTAAGCGTTGACGCGCAGCGTATTGGGTCCAGCACGTCAAACTAACAAGCATGAACTGTAGAAAGTTGGGTTTAGGGTTTAGGGGGCCAAGTGAACTACAAGACGCCACAGTAGAAACTGCCCCCGAACCAAACCCTAAACCAGTCTCTGCTTCTGTCAGGGGGGAGGACTCGAAGGGGTCCGAGCCGCTGAAGGCATCGTCTGTCGGGTGAGGACTCGCACTCTTGGGTTTAGCTGTTTGGGTGTTGAGGGCTTCGGGGTTGAAGGGTTTAATATGGTTTAACTGATTGGGCCTAAATCTCCAACCATCTTTGCCCCGGGCCGTAGCGATGAGTGTGACTCGGATTCAAGCACATGACCAGGACCCCGCCTTGGTTGACACCTTTGCCATGTGCTTGTGCGCACGTGCGCGTGGTGCCCAAAACACTCGGACCCCAACCCCTAATAATTTGTAGTTTATAACATGTAATTTATTGCATGTAGCATATAATTAATATGTATATATATATATATATATATTATAAAAGAACTAACTCTTCAAGAAGAACGAGGCCACAGAGACCTCAACCCCCACTTCGCCTCCTCGAGCCCTTGAGCCTGTTGCATCTTCGGATTTCCATGCCAGGGGCCTTCGAAACCCAAAGCCCAAAGAAGGCCAAACGGTTCAGGGTTTAGGGTTCCTAAACCCTAAACCCTAAGCCCAAGCAAGGCCAACTCCTAGGTAGCATTAGGGAGACCCCTTAAAGGGGACCCCTTCAAGGGGACCCTTTCTTCACCCTACGCATGGCGCGCTTGAAGGCCTTATTGAGAGGGTCTATATTCCCAAGGGTCCGCCTACTCCCATCTGCCAAAACACGACGACCCCGAAACCCTAAACCCTAAACCCCCAAACCTGAAAAGAGGTGATAAAAAAATCCTAAAACCTAAAACCTAAACCCCTAAACCCAAAACCCAAAACCCAAACCAAAGGCCTGCACAGTTTGATATGCCAGGCTCCGGAGCCGGGTCCTTCGCCGTTGGCCAGACTGGGTCCGCCATGCTTTGGGAGAGAATTCTCGGGCCTTTCGGGTCTAGACTCTATGGTGCATAAACCCTAAAGCAATAACCGGGTTAGAGGTTAGATTTTAATGACTAGATTTCATCGACTATAATTTTCTGCATGGTCCAGCTGAGATGTAAGGCTTCAGAATACCGGAGGGTTAAGGCAAAGGATTTGTTGTGCTCACAAACCCTGGGTCTCTTTCCCCGCGAAACGCGAGGACGAACTCTGGGGCTTTCCAAGCCGACAGCCCGATATTCCCTACAGCCTTGTACCGCAAAGCCCTATACCTATGCCCTAATACCCTAATGCCCTAATACTTTAATGCCCTAATACCCTAAACCCTAAACTCTTACCCCAATACCCTAAAACCCTGAAACCCAAAAACCTTAAAGCCCAAGCTCCGAGTGGTTCTTCGTGAGGTGGCCTAGCTCGGCTCTGCGCATGCAGGCGCAGGAAGAGCAAAGAGGACGAAGGGCTACGGTCAAAGGGTGCCGAATGTAGGAGCCAAGATGACTTGAACAGGGCTCCTAAGCATCAACATCGTAGAATATACTCTAACACCCCATTCTAGAATGAGTAAGGGGCCCTAGAAAAGTTTCGGGGTATTGAAACAGCGTGTGTTAAATTTGGAGTTTTGAGTGCAGAAGGTTTTAAACGAACGTTTGCCTGGCCGTAGGTCCGCTCCAGAGGTCGCAATGATTGTCTTGGTGTTGACCTAGGGTTTAGGGTTTAGGGTTTAGGGTTTAGGGTTTAGGGTTTAGGGTTTAGGGTTGACCCTGCTTGGCGACTGCAGCAGCCATTGAGGTTCGCCAGGCGAATATGAGCTACAGCTCATGAAGCCAGCCTTGCAGCCCAACAGCATGCGCCACTCGCTCATCGTCCATGCCGTAGGGTCTGTAGGTCTACATGATAGGCCAATCTCAATGGGAAGAACTTGCAAAAGAATGCGCTCTGTGGCAAATAACGTGCTTTCAGCATTGGCAGATCTGAAATTGCATGCCGCTCAAGGGCCAAGTCCCCTGAGATATGAATCATGCTATGTGCTATGTGCCATGTACACTTGAGAGCATTGCCCACATACATACATACATACATCCATCCATCCATCCATCCATCCATCCATCCATCCATCCATCCATGCATGCTTACACACATATGTGTTGTGTATACATACACACAGTTAACGCATATATGTATCACACATCACACGCACACGAAAACTTCCAAGCCGAAGACCCAATCCGCCACATGCTGTTCGGCATTCTCAAGACAGCACGACATCTCTGCACCACGGGAATGCGACTCTGCAATGCCGACGTCGATGAAGCGGAGCGGAACTACCAGGAGGCCGACACTGCACGACAACAGAGGCAAATAGAGTTTGGCATGTTGACCATCACTCAGCTTCTACCAGGTCCACCACTCTACCACTCCCAGGACGATTGAGACGACAATGATGGCGATGTAGCGGTGGGTGCTGTTGCTGCTACTACCAGGCCGACGGCGACGACCACTACCACCCTATCAGGACGACGCCGAAGACGACGATGACGACTGCTACTACTGCTGCTACTGC